AAAAAAATTCTTGGGGATTTTTTCACCATTTACATTATGAAGAGCAGAATAATCATGCTAAATGTAACATATGAAGAGATATACACAATTTGCAGCACTATAAAATTCAAAAGGTGTTGATAACAACGCAAGATTCTCTTTCAATAGCTAACAATAGACTCAAAGCAAAGAGCAAGCTGCCACTAAGAGCTTATCTGCAGAAAGACCTCCACAAGCAAAACCCAGCCATACTTTATGTCAGAAAGAAGGAGAAACAGAACTGGATAATTTATGGCCAAACTTCACAGGTGATGTCACGATGAATAGAACTGACATGGGGACAAGAGATACTTCTGCAAATGTTGTAAGTCAGAAAAAAAAAAGTAGCTTATTTTCATACGAAAAAGAAAGCCATGAGGCAGACCAATTACTTTGCAATGTAGATAAAATTAAAGAATTCAAAAAAGTGTTAACAAGAGGTATTAAAGCATTTAGATAGCTCTGCCTTGTCAATTAAATACATCTTTATGGCGTTTGGGTGCAAATTATTAGGACATGTCAGTCAGTCTAACTTCACACCCACAAATCCATCTGAAGTCACCATGGGGGGAAAAAAAGTAATCTTGTTTCTAGAATCTGCAGTCAGTGGGGAATGCCACATTTTCCCTCAAAGTAAGGCAGACCTTCCTCTGTCCAAAAGCTACCATGAGACAAGAGTAAACAATCAGGCAACCGCCCAACCTCTCCCCGCACAGCCACAGAAACAGCACAGAAGAAATGTCAGCATCCTACAAGTCTGGTAAAGAAATTATACTGATTAGTCTGAAAGGAACTACGGTTTTCTCACCTTTTGTGCATTTCATAAAACCATAAAATATGCTGAATCGGAAGGGATCCATTAGGAACATTGAGTCCAACTCCTGGCCCTGAACAGGGCACCCCAAAAAGGACACCATGTGACAGAGCATTGATCAAACACTTCTTAAACTCTGGCTTGGTGCTGTGACCACTGCCCTGAGAAGCCTTATGTGCTCGCCCTCCCTCTGAATGGAAAACTTTTTCCTGATATCCAAGCTAAAGCTCCCCTGACTCAGCTTTCGCTGTTCCTCAAGCTCTGTCACTGGGCACAAGAGTGTAGAGACTGGTACCTGCCCCTCACGGGAGGCTGAAGACTGCACTGAGGTCTTCCCTCAGTCTTCCCTTCTCCAAGCTGAACAAAACAAGCCCTCAGCAGCTCCTCATGCAGCTTCCCCTCTAGACCCTTCCCCATCCTTGTGGCCCTTCTTAGGACACTCTCTATTAGCTTAATGTCTTTTTTATGCTGTGGTGCCCAAAACTGTCCCCAGAACTCAAGGTGAGGCTGCTGCAGTGCAGAGCAGACAGACACAATCCTCTCCCTCGCCCAGTTGGGTCTGATGCCCCCCAGGACATGGTTGGCCCTCCTGGCTCCAGGGCACTGCTGACTCAGATCCAACTTGCCATTGACCAGAACCCCAAGGTCCCTTCCTCCACCACTGCTGTCTAGCCTCTAATTATGATTGTGAACCGTATGCTCAGCTATTTCATAAAGCCAAGCAAGTTGCAGACAACTCCTGAAAGGGAAATGTGAATACACCCATCAAATTTTAGGCCTGAGAAAAATTTGTATCAGCTTTCAGTCACTGAAAAGATAAAGTAATTAATTCCCCACACAAGGGGATCCTAAAAAGTGCAGCTTCGGCAGTAAGTTATAGACAAGCAAATTACTACCTATGTATTAGCTACAAATTAATGAGAAAAGCATTCAGGTTCCCATAAATACACAGGATCAACAGAAAGGCGCTAGTTCTCTTTAGTATTCTAGCTGGATTGTCTTAAAACTGACATTTCACACATGCGGCAGTGAAGTACCAACGACTTCAAAGAAAGTTTTAAGAACATTCAGTAACTACTTTATATATTAGTACCAATAACAATCACGCTCACCAGTCTAAAATCCTGGTTTTAAATAATCACCCTCACAATGACAGTCCCCAAAACCTTTATTAAAATGTCACAATCTTTGCAGAAAAGTCGATCAAACTTCACAGAGCTACGGAGAAGTTACTCTCTCCTCCCCTCCATTAGCTCCACACTTACCAGCTTATCTCCCACTATGATAGGCAATGCCAAGACCAGGATCTGTTCCTAGGAAATTTCACAGTACAAACATCTTTGGAAAGTGGCAGTAGAACTACATCTTCTAGCCCCCTTCTATGCAGTAGAAAACCCCCTTCTCCTGTCAAGATACAGTTGGTCATCACTCCAATATTAAGAGGCAGGGGAGCAGTTTCACCTACTCCCTAGAAATAAATGAAAGACAAGGGGATGAAAAAGATTTGAGGAACAACAAGAACAAAAAAAGTAAAGTAATTATTAGAGGAAATGCTTGTACCTTCGAAGAAATGCATCACAGAAAGATCATCCATTAAAATAGTTCAAAATTGCAAAGGACATTGGTAAAACAGTTACTTGGAGGCAGTACTGACAGCTCAGCAGTGATTTAAGACATTCAGTAGTTTAAGAGAGACATCAGAACCTAGAAGGTCAAGATAACTAATATACTATTGGAAACAAAAACACCAACCAAGGAATTGAAAGGCGGGTGTCGTGTAAAAGTTACAGGTTAAAAGAGCTTTGTATTAGTAAGATGAGAAGACACAGGCAGCGTGAAACTCAGCACTTTTCAAGGCCAGGAAAATGTTTGTTAACAAACAGGTAAAAATCGTGAGTTTCACCTGCATGAATAGACAATAAAAGCTGCTGTTTAAACAGACCAAGCAGAAATAGTCTTCAAGAATGACTGAAACCTCTTTCCAGGTACTTGTGCCTACTTTGTGTCAAAGAATAATCAGCTTTGCACAACAAAGTATGATTGAGACAGCACTGTTGTACAGAGCAATCAAGATTAAGGAACGCTAAGAACTTCGCTGGAATCACACTTTTTTGTGAACATGAACACTTAGCTATCAAATGCTATAAACAACCGAAGACCAATATGAAGTAGAAGGTCAAAGAATTATCACTACCAAAATAGTTACTTCACATATTAGAAATTACCTGGGCACAAGGAAGTAAAGCATTCATCTAAACAATGGAAAAATAAAACTAACTGATGTGTTTAAGAATGAGAAGAAAATAGTCACCTGAGAAGATCTTTGCCATGACAGGGACTGCAAATAAACCAAGTAGAAAGATTACAGAATTCTCTGAGTTTCAGCAGAAAGATGCTGTTTCGGGGAAGTGCATGTATTTCCACTGTTATACAAAGAACATACACCTCAAAAAATGGAACTGAAGGGAACAAAACCAGCAACAGCCAATGATATTAGAATGAGGAGCCAACAGTTCCAAAGTAAGCTGATCTTGCTCCATCTGAGGAAAGATCGTATCACATTTTTATCCCAAGAAGAAACAGAAAAGCATCAGATGAAGGTGACAACTCTGCAAAGACAAGTGAATATAAACTAAAGACGTTTACACGTGAGCTAAATCTCTGGAGGCAGGAAAGGGTCATAAGGATGGGATCACACTCCCCCTTGCCATCCTGGACAGTCTATAAGACTCTGCAGAAAAACAGAAGTAGAGATAGAAATACACGACAAATCATCATCAAAAGATGCAACAAATATTGATAAACTATTGAGCTTAATGTTCCCCAGCAGAAAGGAGAAGTAAAGTGAGGGGCTTGCATGACTTAAGATAACTATTTCCAAGCTTCTGGTTCTAGGAGAACAAAAAAACTCATTAAAATTTATTATACAGTTATTATAATGGCAGTGTATAATTTAAATACTAACATTAAGTTTCTCACAAATAATCATTACAGATTTGGGTACTACTATCCTTGAGACCACTTATCATGCCGCCTCGGGTGCTGACAACTCATCTTGAATCTGGAAGCCAACAGCCCAAGACATGCTGCATCACAGGATTTGGTAGCTAAGTGTAATTGTATTGCTAGCTGCTTGAAGGCTTCATCTTCAAAGGCTGCACCTATAACAGTTAGTTGCTTCCTGTAGTTTAACACTAATATCAGAACAGTAATTGCCACTGACACAGAGTTCAGAAGTAAGAAACAGTCCTGAAAGAAGGGGCCTCACACACACGCTTTCATTCACCTCCCTCTGGGCATATCTTTCCTTCTTTCATTAACTGAGAGGAATGATGAGAAACAGAGACACCAGGGCAAACTGGCTTTTGCCAAAACAGAGAGACATTTGTCATTCCCAAAGACAAAATATAGGTCCCTACTGCCACTTAAAACACCACTGTACACACCTTAGGGCAGAATATCCAAATACTGCAGTGTCGCAGCACAGGTTCTCCTAATGCTCTTCAGAAAAAAAAATGACGCCACTTTACCAGCGGACCTCTGACGCTTTCAGCTCAAAAAATATAATGCATCTATTATGATACCCCGTCTTGTTTTACACAGCCCTGCTATTAATCTTTTAACTAAAAATATTATTAACATAAGTATAAGCAAAGGAAAGGTTTAAGATAAAAGTGGTGCAAAAGCTCTGGACAATAACTTCGAAAAGCAACTGGAAAAGGCGGGGCACAAAGCTGCTCAGAGCCGGTGCCGAGACGCAGAGCTCGCTGCCGCGTTCCAGGGCCCGTTCCCAGCACCGGGCCCGCTATCCGCGTCCAGGGAGCACCGACCCGGCGGCGGCCACCGGCCCCGGGAGTTATCGCATCCAGAGCCCGGAGCCACCGACCCGCGTGAGGCATCTAAGGACATAGGCCTCAGCATGGCTGCGTCGGTCTCCGCCTCGCGGACAGCGCGCTGGCCCGGCCAAGGCGCTCCCTTTGTCCGGCCACTCGTCCCATTGGGACTGGGACGGCCGCAGGGAGGTGGGGCTCCCGGACGCGCCCCTCAGCTCAGATCGCAGAGCCTGGCCGGGGCCGGGCCGGGCCCGGTCGGGCCTGGTCACGGCCGGACCCGCGGCAGCACGGGACCGCCATGGGCCAGGGCAACGACGCCTGCAACTCCCGCCTACCTTCGTTCGCCAGGTCCGCCATTTTACTTCCTCAGCCGCGCCCACAATGCATCGCGCGGCCGGACGGCACCGCTTACCGCGGGCCCCACGCGCCGCGCACGCCCCGATTTACGGCTGCGCCTGGACGGCGCCGCGCGTGCGCGGGGGGCGGGGCTGTCCCTGGCGGACTTGCGAGCTGCGCGCCGTTCCTGCTCGGTTCCCGGTCCGTTCCGGAGCTCCGAGTGGGCGGTATGGGCAGCGGTTCTGGGGGCCGGCTCGTTACGGGGCCACCGTTGGCCCGGTCGCTCCTTGCAGCCTGCGCATCGTGTATACCGGAGCGGCCGCGGCCGTCGGGGCGGGGTCAGTTGCCCGCGCGTCTCCGTCCCGTGCGCGGCCTTGCCCTCCGCTCCTCCTCCCGCGGCTGCGGAGCCCAGGCGGGAAGGTCAGGAGCTGCTCCTGGTGCCGCGTCCTGCGCTCACAGTGCCGCTGCCCGGGCCGGTCACGGGGCAGCAACCTCCGTGCAGCGTGTGCTCTGGGACATGACTCCTCTGGGATGCATTGAGTCGTCGAATATCCTGAGTGGAATCATCAAGTCCAACTCTTGGCCTTGCAGAGGACAGCCCAACAATCCCACCCTGGTCCTGAGTGCATTGTCCAAACGCTCCTTAAGCTCTGGCAGCCTTGGGTCTGTGACCACTGCCGTGGGGGGCCTGATCAGTGCCTGACCACCTTCCTGGAGAACCTCTGCCTAATGTCCAGCCTAAACCTCCCAGGACACAGCTTCATACCATTCACTTTGGTCGTGCATCATACATTGCCAAGCCTTCAGACTAAAGACTCAAACTCTTCAGTTTTTGGGAGGATGCTTCTCCATCCCAAACATACATTGTTTGCCACTCTTTGTGACATCTAGCTCTTCAGAAGTCCACGCTGCTCAAAATGTAGGCGCACCAGAGTGTTACATGGTTACAGAGGGTCAGTCCAAAGAGTACAGTATGTAACCAAAGAGTACAGTACGTAACCACGCTAGTGCTCTCGTTCTCTTGATGGTGCCCCATATTTTGTTGGCTGCTTTGTTCAGTGCACTAGAGCTCCCGACTCCATGGTCTCAGTCTCTATGCATTAGTCAACAGCAGCTGGCACAGGAGGTAGAAACTGAGAAATTCATGATTCTCATCTTACTCCTAATGATTGCTTCAAGGCTCGTTTAACAACAGCATGCACAGTGCCCATCATTTGACTATATCCCTCACAAATTATCACACTAGCATAAGGCAAAATTCAAGGGCCAGGCTCCTGATTCCTTTTGCAAGTACCATGCATGGAAATCGTCTGGTTTGCCTGCTAGGAGAATTGTCCATCAGGTGTATAACAGCATAACTGACAAAACCTGGTAAGAATAGATGAATGGCACTAATTTAGAAAAAAACAATAATCACAGAATGGGTTAGGTTCCAAAGAAGCTTAAAGCCCATCTCATTCTCTTCCTTGCCATAGACAGGGACACGTTCCTTTAGACCAGGTTGCTCTAAGCCACATCCAGCCTGGCCTTGAACACCCAGGGATGGATCAGCCACATCATCTCTGGGCAACCTGTGCCAGGGCTTCACCAGTCTACCAGCCAAGAATTTCTTCCCAATACCCCCACCTAACGCTGCTCTCTGGCAGTGGGAAGTCATTCACACTTGTCCTGTGATTCTAGACTCCTGTCCAAAGTTCCTCTCCAATTCTCTTGGAGCCCCTTTAGGCACTGGAACAGGCTCTAAGGTGTCTCTAGAGCTTTCTCTTCTCCAGGTGAATATCCCCAGCTCTCCCAGCCTGTCCCCTGAGCAGAAGGGCTCCAACCCTTGGAGCATCTCCGTGGTTCCTCTGGCCTGGCCTCCAGCAGCTCCACGTCCTCCTGTTCCCCAGGGCTGGGGCAGCTCTGCAGGCGGGGTCTCACCTGAGTGGGACATTATCCCCCCCTCCCCTGCTGCCCATGCTGGGGGCTCAGCCCAGCACAGGGATGGTTTCTTGTGTGCCAGTACCTGTGGCTGGGGCATGTTGAGGTTCTTTTCCACCTCCACCCACAAGTCCTTCTCTCCAGGCCTTTTCTCAATCCCTCCTCTCCTCAGCCTGTGTTTGTGCTTGGGATTGCCCTGACACGTGTGCAGGACTTGCACTTAGCCTTGTGCAAGTTTGTAAGTCCCACCTCTCCACCCTCTCCAGGTCCTTCTGGATGGTATCCTTTCCTTCCAGCATGTTGACCATACCACACAGGATACCTATATTTAAATACAGAAAACTATCTGTAAATAAATGTCCATCTTCATTCCATATGGTGGATTACTTCAGTAGATCAGGTAATATTCTTTGGAGTTTTATGATTGCTAGTGCAAGCTGCATTATCATTTGAATTTGCAAGATAGTGGTCACAAGAAATCCAGGTGTTTTCTAAAGCCTATTAGGGACAAATTCTTACCACACTTGCTAGATGGGCCATCTAGTTCAGCAGGACACCCAACTGTATCTGGTACTCATGACCAAGAGAGGAATGTCTGGGGAACGTGACAATCAGTGGTCATGTTGGGTTGTTGGTAATCAGTGGTTTCATCAGTGGTCATGAAATGTGGCGTTCAAGGTTCTGAGGGGAGTGACAAAGATAAATGTCAGACTGCAGGCCCTTCAAGAGAATGACTTTGGGTTATTCAAGTGAAGTGAGATTCTGTGAGAGTTAGCTCTGAAGAACAAAGGAGCTCAAAAGAGCTGGCAGTTTGTTAAGGATTTCCTCCAAGCACAAGAGCAGTCTGTCCTAGCAATCAGAGGAGTAAGAAAATGTGTTGGGAGACAAACTTTGTAAACACAGAATTTGTGAGTGAACACAAAAAAACTATACACGGGATGGACGCAAGGACAGACTACTGAAGTGCAAAATAGGAATACTTCTTCAGCATGCAGAGATGATATTAGGAAAGCCAAAGGCCAACTAGACTTGACCCTGCCAAAGGACTTCAAAAGCTTTCCTAGTCTTACTTTCCACCAAGGAAGTCCCCCAGGTCTCTGAGCTTTGAGACAGGATTCAGAGGCAGGATCAAGTAAAAAATCTCTTGACAACTCCCCAAGGGATCCAGTGGACTGTGTGGGAGGGGGGCTGAAAGCTGGCTGATGTTACTGAACAGACACATTCCATCATCTTTAAAAGGTCCTGGGGATGAGTGAAGACCACGTCTGCATTCCAGGGGGCACTTTAAGCATCAGGACGCTCTGTTTAACCTCTCACTCTCCAGCTACCAAGGAAGAAGAAAAACACTATTAAGTGTTGCTTTTCACCTGAGATTTCCTGGCATGCTTCCCTGGCTTAAATAAACTTGCCACTAGTCAATAAGCTACATGGTCCTGAACAAGTCATCCCCATTTACCCTGAGGGTAGAGCTCCAGCCACGGTATCCACAGATATCTGGAGCTGCAGCATTTTTCATTTGATCTCAGCTGACTTAAAGCTGATTTTAGTGTATCCTCCGATCATGACAGTGATCATGATGTCCACATAGCAGCCTGAGTCTGTGTGTAGTTCTAGACCTTGTCTGTGTCTTTTGCCTGGAGAACAATTGGTGCAGATGATTTGCAGAGAATTTAGCCATTTAGAATTTAGAATTTGTGTTTTTATTCACATGAGAACTGTAATTTTCAAGGATATACAACATGGCTGACTTAGCTCCAGTCTTTATGGAATTAAGTTCCTTTCCCAAAGCAGACATGTCCTACAAACTGAGCCAAACACTAGTCTTGAAAAGTGAGTCAGAGGAATTACTTATTATATGTCTAAAAAACAATAATTACATTTTTACTTATTACTTATAAGTACTTATTCTGATACAGGTATCCATTAGAGAAAATTTCACCGTAGAGCATTAAAGCCTATTAAACCTAAGAAACTGTGAACATGCTTTTATCATTAAAATGTGCAACTTTAATTATAGAAATTGCTGTCCTGTGCTTTTCTAATGGGTGTGTGGTACCAGCATAGTGAGTGATGTGACCCATTTAAGGGGAGTTCTTTAGAAAGAATGTACCTCAGGCAGTTACACTATACTTAAGAACCAGCAGGTCACAGTGTGTTCTCTATTCATGTTCTAATTAGAGACCATACTTCTCAGAATCATTAATGTAACAGAGGAAAATTAACAGTTTTATCCTAACAGGATAAAACAGTGTTGGGAGGTTTCTGATTGTGTTTTAATTTACCTTCAAGTAAATCTGTAGTAATACCAGGATAAATGTGATTCTAGCAATTTATTATTTCAATAAAAAGTAAACTCCACCCACACCAACTTCACAGTTCTTGTGACTTTTAGAAATTAATTACAAGAGTTATCTGTACCCTATGAGCTTGTCAAGTTGCTGATATAACTAGAATCTATTTTGGGTGCATGCCATTAAGATACTATAAATGCCATACTTTCTGATTAGTACTATTGTTAGGTCAGTATTTCTAAAGGGACATGGCCTAAAAGTCACTATGACTTTGACAAATTAAATATTTTTCCATAGCTGAGCTCTGGGGAAAAAAAAAAGAAAAAAAACCCACAACCAAAAAACAACAACAACAACAACAACAACAAAAAAAACCCACCAAAAAACCCCAAAAAACCACAAAGAACACCAGCACAAAAAATATCCACACAGAAAACAACCAAAAAAGAAAAATAAACAAACAAAACACTCCCACAAAGACAAAAAGTCACCACCTCACAAAGAAAACCCCAGCCAAAATCAACCACTCTCTTTGAAGACCTTCTACTTCTGAGACTGTCATTTGCATGGACTCACACCCTGGAGCATTCACAGTTGTCCATACCATGACGGTGGCATTTTGATCCATAGTCGTAAGCATTCATCAGCAAGAAAAGAAACAGGCTCTAGAGTGAAGGCAGCACCACAGGTAATCACTGTCTCATTTCTAGCTCTAGCACTCTGTCAGTGTCCTGGACAAGAAGGCAGTTTCTAGATGCTCACACCATGTAGGTCAGTTAATATACTATCTTGTCTGTTTCTGGTGGCAGACCTGGATGAAGCAGAAAGTTGTACCTGAGGCCTCCAGAAG